TATATATATATATATATATATATAATTATTTTAAAAAGTAATTAGCCAAATATAATGTACATAATGCTTTATACTTTGTTTTATGCTTTTCTGTCTCTAATGTTACTTGGTTACTCAATAGGTAATGTAAATACGATTTTAATTATGTAATTAGTAATTAATTACTTATCCGAATTAACTTACCCAGCTGGTGAAGCCAATAATGGCCTCTCTGTATAATATTTCCACTAACCGTCTTGATTTTCCAATATTTTTATCGCATACCAATGTATGTCACGAACAACACGTCATGTTTACCTCCAGCAATGTTTATCTTATCTAACATATTTAAATAGAGGTGTATGGCAGCGCACTCTCAGCCAACCAGCGCCCGAGTTGAGTCCCCGCCCACCGCACTGAGGCCATCTTACGCTGAGCTGTGCTGACGTCACGCGTTCACGCTGGATCAGTTTCAGAGCTTGTGACGCTGCTGCATTAACACAGGTAAATACCGCACGTCGTTATTAATAACATGCATTTAAAACATCGCCTCATAAAAGTTCAGCTTATCTGCATATATGGCGCGGTGGTCCTTTTTGCGCGCGCGCGCTCTCTCAGAATGCGCGTCCTTCACACTCAACTGTCATGCACGCGCAGATTTATGAGGAATATGTTTTGCAGAATGCTGTTTATTCGCATATACAGGGCTGGAACTTTCATTGAGGGTTGCTGAAGTGCATTCAGATGTGTTTACTCATCTTTAGAGTAGTGTCAGGCTTAAGTTTAGCGCTTGCAGCACTGAACAGCCCTGCAGAAAGTATTGGGTGTCATAAATGACAGCGACATTTGTAGTTTTCCCAAATGGCGCAAATGATCTCGGAAACGATTTATTTAGTTGTTTGTTTTAGTGCTGAGCAAGGAATATTGGCATTCAAACATCATTGTGGCCTGCTTTGACATAATGTAACCTATGTGTGTGTGTGAATTATAGCTATATATTTGATATGACACACACAAACACTGAATAGAGGTGAAGTTGGTTTCATATTGGGATATTCAGACTTAATATACTGTCAGAAAAGTATTCCTTGCACATTATAAATAGGAAAATCCTATTAGCAGCAAATGACTATCAAACTACAGCATTGTTCACAGTCAAATAGACAGTGTTAATGTTGTTTACAAGTCATACTTGCATGCTAATTCTGATCCAATATTCCAAACATGGTAAACAATATAGAGACTGCTAAATAAAACCAACTTTACCTCTATAAAATTGTATGTATGCGTGTATGTGTGCGTATATATATATATATATATATATATA